TTTGGTAGAGTTTTTGGGGATTTGGTTGATATGGTGAGGTTTGAGAGAGTGAGGGGATGTTGTGAAGTGAATTTGGGTGGCTTTGGGGTGTCGCCTCCGCCGTAGGCGATTTCCGATGGCGACTCAGGGTGGAGCTAGGGTTTCTAGTTCTTTTTAGTTTCAAGATCTACTGGTTTTCATGGGGGTTTTGGGGATTTAATCGATAGGGTGAGGTTTAGAAAGAGTGAGGGGAGAGGATAGGGTGGTTTTTTGGGTAGTTTCAGGCGTCGCTGCTGCCGTAGGCGAATTCTAGAGGCGGCTTAAGGCGGATGGTGGTAAGGCGGCTAGGGTTTGAGGTGTGGTTAGATAGCGAGATGTGAGAGAGGGTGTGAGACGAAATGAGGGGGTAGGGGGTCGCTAGGACAGTTATATATTAAAGGGAGGGGGAGTTCCGAGCCGTTGGATTTTGTAAAGATCAACAACTGGGATTGATTGGCACCAAAACGGTGCCGTTTGGTTTAGTGAAGGACTAGACCGGATTAGGTATTGGGCTTGGGCAGTTTTGGACTGGGTGTGTGGGATTGAGCTGGTTTAAAATTGGCCCAGTCCGATCAAGGCCTACTAGAATCCCCCCCCCCCCCTTCTTTGATTTTTAAAAATCTAATTAGTTTAATTAAATTCTAAATTAGGTACTAAATTATCTTAATTTGTAAAATTTAAATAACTATCTATTTATATTATTTACATAATTATTCAGTCTTAAATTAAAAGAAAATTGCTAATTTTAACGCTAAAACTAAAAATGTAAAAATCAATATTATTTTTGTGAATTTTGTTTTAATAAAATAATTAATTAACGACTTAACCTTAAAAATGCAAATAACAACCTAAAATGCAATGCATGACATTTTGAACATTTTTTTAGGGTATTTTCCATAATTTTAAATTATTAAATGTGCACAAAAATGCAACTAACTGCAAACAATTAACAAGAAATTCCTACAAAATTCTATAAAAACGAAAGTAATTTAGAAAAAACTATTTTTTAATTTTGTAGGAGTATTTCTAGTCGGGCAAAAATCACGTGCTCACACACACCACAACAGAATTGTGTGGTTGAGAGAAAACATAGGTACCTTCTTGAGACAGCTAGGACACTTTTATTTCAATCAAAGTTACCTGTAAAATACTGGGGTGAATGCATCTTAACAACTACTTACCTCATTAACAGACTGCCTACCACATACCTCAAGAATAAATTCCCCTTTGAACTCCTATACAAAAAGAAACCAAACTGTTCCCATTTGAAAAGTTTTGGGTGCCTATGTTTCCCCACTATACCAAGAATAAATAGGGACAAATTTGATCCCAGAACTGTGCCTCATGTCTTTGTTAGATATCCCTTTGAAACCAAGGGATACAAGGTGCTGAACTTGCAAACTAGAAATATCCACATATCCAGAGATGTAACCTTCCATGAGAATATCTTTCCCTTTTGCTGTGTCACCTGTTGCAGGTTCTTTTCCCTTAACTCTTCACTCAATACCTTTCATCTCTGATTTACACACTGCTGTATCTCAGCCCACTACAGACAATTCACCAAGCCTAGACAATCCTGGAGTTGCACATGATCAACCTTCACCTGATCACTCTGCACCTTCTTTTCTAGAGACACCACACTCCTATTCTCCTGAGATCCTTCCACAAAATCTATTTGATCCCATTCCGCAAAATGATTCACCTATCTTAGAGCTCAAAAGGTTTGGCAGAGAACACAAATTACATGCTCATCTGCAGGACTATGTCTATTCCATACCTCAATTGAAAACAACCTCTACTTCTCTACCTACTGATCCACCGGCCACTTCCACCTCCCTTAATGCTTTGTTCTCCTTAAATAGTCATATTTCTATTGATTCTTTAGTCCTTGATAATCAGTTGTTTGTAATGAATGTCAATAATGATTTTGAACCATCTTCATATAAGGAAGCTGCCCTTAACCCTGCTTGGCAAACAACAATGACATAGGAGTTTGAAGCCCTACATGCAAACCATACCTGGGATGTAGTGCCCCTGCCAAGCGGCAAGCAGGCCATTGGTTGCAGGTGCGTATATAAGATAAAACACAAAGCTGATGGAACAATAGAGAGGTTCAAAGCTAGGCTAGTAGTAAAAGGGTATACTCAGCAGCCTAGCATAGACTACACAGAAACCTTCAGTCTTGTGGTAAAAATGACAACAGTGAGAGCTCTTATAGCTACTGCAGTGAAGAAGCAATGGCACATCTTTTAGTTATATGTGAATAATGCATTCCTTCATGGAGACCTCCACGAGGAAGTATATATGCAAATGCCACCAGGGCTAGAGATCAAGTCTCCAGGTTTAGTGTGCAAGTTGAACAAATCCTTATATGGCCTCAAACAGGCAAGCAAATGTGCCACTCTAAGCTGACTGAGGCCTCGTTTGTTTTTTAAGATTAAGACATTTGAATCTGAATACACATCTGAATATTAAGATTTGTATTAAGATTAAGACATCTGAATCTAAATACACATCTAAATATTAAGAAGTGTATCAAGATCTGAATACTAAATGATTAAGACTGTTGATTTTTAACATCTGAATGTATAAAGTTTATCATTATTTGAAAATTTAAAAAAATAAAATTCAAATGAGTACTAATTAATCTACTATTCTATCAATAAAATATATAGTTTTTTAGAATATGATAGTTGTTGGTGGTGATGGCTAATGGGTGAATCCCGATTAGAGACTGTGGTTGGTGGTAGTTTTGATTGATGGTGGTGGTTCGGGTAGTAGCTAGTGGTGATTGGTAGTGGTGGCGATTATGATTGAGGATGGTGGTGGTGGTTGGTGATAGTTAATAATGGCGGGTGGTGGTGGTAGTTGTAATTGAGGAATGTGGTGGTGGGTGGTGGTAGGTTATAATGATGGATATTGGCGGTTGTGGTTGTTGATGGTGATGTGGTGGTTAGTTGTGGTAGTTGAGGTGGATGCGTGTTGATTGTGGTTGAGAATGATGGTGGTGGGGACGGTGGGAATGGTGGGTGGTGATAGTCGATAATGGTGGCGGCTATGTTTGAGGGTGATGGTAGTGGTGGTGGTTGTGGTTGATTATGGTGGTGGTGGTGGCATCGTGGTAGTTGATAATGGTAGGCGGTGGCGGCAGTTAATAATGAATATGGATGATAGCATCTTGATGAAATTAAGTCTCTGTTATAGTTCTTAATCATACAGACCTATTCTGACCCATTAAGTGATTATGAAGTAAAAAAACAAACAAACTTAATGATTAAGATCTAAATAGTTAAGATTCAGACTTTAAAAACAAACACACTTAATGTCTGAGATCTGAATGATTAAGATTCAGACAAATGAATGAGGCCTGAGGCTCTTTGTTCAAAGTACTATGTATACTCTCTTAATGACTACTCACTCTTTTACAAGAAAATACATCATTCTACCATTTATATAGCTATATATTGTAGATGTTTTTATCATCAGTAGGACAAATCTTTCAGAAATTACTCAACTCAAATGTTTCATGCATGATCAATTTAAGATATAGGACCTCGGAGAGCTGCATTACTTCCTTAATTTGGAGGTTCTTTACACAGGTGATGGTGTGATAATTTTCCAAAGAAAGTTTGCACTAGACTTACTCAAAGAATATGACTGTCTTTTTACAGCAGACTCTCTACTCCCCTTGATCCAAAGGAAAAGTTGAGAGCCAAAGAAGGAGCAGCATTGCCAGGTCCTACCTACTACAGAAAATTGGTAGAAAAATTAAATTTCCTCACCAATACCAGACTGGACATAGCCTTCAGTGTGCAGCATCTTAGCTAGTTCATGCAAGACCCAGGGAGCCACATTTGAAAGCATCTTTCCACTTGCTTAGGTATCTGAAGAATGATCAAACTCTTGGAATTTTTCTATCAAATGACTCTGACTGTAACATGAAGGGTTATTGTGATTTAGACTGGGCTGCTTGCCCGGACTCTAGGAGGTCAGTCACAGGATATATGGTCTTGCTAGGCAATAGTCCAATACGTTGGAAATCTAAGAAACAAGAAACAATGTCTTTATCCTCAACAGAAGCAGAGTATAGGTCCTTGAGAAAGATTGTTGGAGAGCTAACTTGGTTGTGCAGAATATTTGATGAGCTTACTATTCCTTATCCTAAACCAATCTCAATGTTTTTGTGACAGTCAATCTGCCTTACCCATAGCTCGTAATCTTGTTTTTCATGAACGAACCAAACATATCGAGGTCGATTGCCACTGTGCGAGATAAGCTCCAAGAAAAGTTGATTTCTCTCCATCATGTTGATATTGGTGCTTAGTTAGCAGATTTCGTCACTAAAGCCCTCACTGGCGTAAAGCATTCTAGATATTGAACAAGTTCGGTGTGAAGAGGGGTATTGAGATAACACTGTATTTAACTTCATTCTTGTATATACTTCTGAGTAGTTTAGTTAGTTAGTTAATTAGTTAGTTGATTAACTTAGTTGTCAAGTAGTTGAAGTTAGTTAGTGGCCTTGCATCCACGTGTATATATACTTTCCCTTTGAGATATCAAAAATACAACAATTCATTCTCTCAGATTCAAGTCTCCTTCTCTCTTAGCTCATACGAAGGTTCTAGAGTCCATAATGGAGTCTCTAATCGAGAGTGAAATTGGTTATCCAAACGCATAAATTGACAATATTATCTAGAAGGAGAATGGGAGGGGACATGAATGTTCCGTTTTGAAAAATTTGAGATTTTTTGATACGTGGTCAAACTAATAATAGCCTTAAGGTGATTAGACTTAAATCATGAAATAGGGAGTATATCTAGTGTATTTGGGTGTGCTATGTCCAACCTAGAGCGTCAAAAAGATACATTAACAATTTAAGATCTAATTATTACAATTGCAAATTTCTACCTTAGCATTGCCGTCTTGATGGAAAACCAATAAAGGAAGATAAAGATAAAGGCCAAAATAGAGAGAGAAAAAAATTAAAAGAAAAACAAAGGTTCTCATTTATATTGAGCTGATGAGTTTCTACAGAGGCCAGAACAGGATATAGCATCAAGATAAAAAGCACTTATATGTCCAAGAACATGCAAAAGCTGGCAATGGAGATAAATTGCATTCTTAAATTACTCTAGAATAAAAAAACCAACTTATTAAATTACTAGGTTCAAATCAGGGGTTGTGCATTAGAGTCCTTAGACCTGTTGTCCTCAGAGGAAGGCCTTGTCTCTCCTTCTGGTTGTCGAATTTCTTCAATCATTCTAACCACTTCTCCCATACTAGGTCTCATATCAGGCACCTTTGCTACACAAGCAAGTCCAATCTGAAGCATCTGCACCATTTCTTCTTCAACATTCTGGTATTTCAACAGCTCTATGTCGAAAACTTCAGCAGTCCATTCCTCTCTAACAACAGACCGCACCCACCTAGGCAAATCAACTACCTCATCATGTCCTGATAATGGGATAGGGGATTTGGCTGTCAGCATTTCAAGGAGCAAAACTCCGAAGCTATAAACATCGGATTTTTGTGTCCCTTTCCGCGTTTCAATCACTTCTGGAGCGCGGTAACCAGCACACCTATACTTAAATGGTATGTAGTTCATTAGAGGTGTTAAGCCAAAATCAGAAATGCATCCGTCTTGGTCTCTTGTTAGAAGTACATTGGAGGACTTGATATTCCCATGAGTAAATTTTACACCACCTTCAATATGGATGTGGGCAATTCCTTTCGCTGCTCCTAGAGATATCTTCAATCTTGTATCCCAGTCTAGTGGAGTTCTTCCAATACCTCTATTACCTGTACTCATTATCAAGATTATGTAAAATTAAAGCAAAAAGTATGAATAATTACTGATAATCGAAAATCAAAGCTTGAAGTAAATTATACCGTGTAAGGCGGCTGACAAGCTACCAGCAGGCATGTATTCGGTAACAAGAAGTTTCTCATCCTTGGAATAATAATATGCGCGGAGTGGCACAATATTAGGGTGCCTCCCAACCCTTCCAACAATCTCCATATGTTGTTCAAACTCCTTTTTAGCAGCACCTACTTCCCTCAGCCGTTTCACCACCACAATCGTCGCCTCATCCAAGACAGCTTTGTAAGCTGTTCCGTAACTCCCTTTACCAAGAACCTCTGCGGAAGCCCTAAGAAGATCCTCCAAATTGAAGCTGTAAGTGCAACCTTCAAAGAATACCAACTTGTTCTTCTCAGCATCTGGTACCCCACTTCCAAAGTCCTCAGTCTTCTCGCTCCTTCCCCCATTAGCCAGTGCCACCTTTTCTTTAATCGTGCTAGTGTTGTCACTTACTTTCTTTTTCAAACAGCAGAAGGAGATAACTAAAACTAGGAGAAATATCAGCGAAGAAGCCACAACTGCAATGGCAATGATGGTTCCAGTACTTAGTTTCTTAGAGTTGACAGTCTTTGGTCTTTCAGGTGGAGATAAGCTATCTGCTGCTGGAGAAAGTGATGGAGAATTCAAGGAACAGCTAGTTAGAGGTGTCCCACATAAACGAGAGTTTCCCACGAATGATGAAAGTGGAAACTTCTGGAGGGAGTTGGGCACTGAGCCATTTAGCATGTTGTAACTAAAATTCAAGCGGTTTAACCTGAGGGTGTCAAGGCTGGGGATTTCTCCTGTCAATGAATTGAACTGTAGGTTCAACACAGATAATCGCGACAAGCTCTTGATCATGGTGGGAATTTCTCCAGTAAAAGAGTTGAAAGATAGATCTAGTACACCAAGTCGAGGAGATAAAGAAACAGGAATATCACCAGAGAAGTTATTATGCTGAAGGTAGACAGACTGGAGGGAAGGAATTGAAAGGAGATCAGAAGGAAGACTTCCATTAAGATAATTGGCTCTTAGACTTAGGACCTTGAGAGCGTCTAGCTTGCCTATACTGTTAGCGGGGATAGGACCAAAAAGTCCAACAGCAGGTAGATGGATTTCAATAACTCTGGTTCCATCTTTGTTACAAGTGATACCAGCCCAAGATTTGCAAATTGGGAGAGCCAAATTCCAGTTGAGTTTTCTGATATGAGGAACAGAGTTTGCAAACTCGAGTAGAGCCTGTCTATCGGAATCAAGATCAGCTATAACATGAGGAAAAATTGACAGCAAGGGAATAAGAAAAGCAACAGCAGCCAGTAAAGGCTGGAGTTTCATTATGTTTTTACTGATCTGGCTCGCAAACATGCTAAATCAAGATTCAACTTGCAGCAACCCTTCACTTGTTGCCTCTCTGCTTAATCACTTTTGAAGAGCATGAAACAAATTAGCTGGTTTCCTCTTAGAGGAAGCAGCCCCTTAGCCACTGTGGAAGGAAGATTAATCAGTTTGCTACAAGAACTTTAAGAAACATTAACATATTCAGGTGCAAGAAAACTATATAATCAAGAAGCAGTATCAGCTAAACAAGTACAAAGAATGAGAATGCTAGAGTAAGAAATTCATTGGTTACTATGAAAGAAAGAACAAAATTAAACCAAGATTATGCCTAAGACACTCAAGTGAACCGACTATAAAGTCACTTACCTATATATGATATGCATGAAAAGGAAACTTCAGTTTCATATTGAAAATGGATCAATCAAGGAGGCAACAACCATGACAAATACTGATTGAACTACTCACTGAAGACAGATTTTGGAATGGGTGGGGAGAGAAGATTTATTGCATACTTTGGTCTAAAGTCCTTTTTGGCAATAAAGTCATTCTTTTTCTATTGTTACCCCCCTAAAAAGCAAGGTGCCAATTGCTTTTTTTAAATTCCTATAAGCTGTTCATTATAAAGCAAGAGCAGAAAACTTGAAAGTCTTTCTCTAAACATATGGATTATCAGAATTTCTTATAGAATGAATACACTCTAGATTTTACTCTTTATCCAGTATTTTATGTGTATAATCGGAGGGAAGATGCAATGCATCGCCTTTAATAATGGACTTGGGATAGTCCTAAAAAAGATGCCCACTTATATATAAAAGATAACCAGAATCAGAAGATTTAGGAACATAAAGATAATATATCACTTACATCATAATAAGGAGTTGATATTGTACATATAAAACAAATGTAGCATCAAGTCAAAAGTTGAAGCTTCATTATTTCAGCAAATTTGAAAGACTTCAATGGTGCTCATGACCTTTTCAATGTGGAAAAGTAAAATTGGCATATAACAATGATAGAGTATTGTCAGGCCCAGTTAACCAGCTAGCAGAGCAAATCTGGTATATTATGCATTGGAAATTATGTTTTGTTGATAGAATTATCAATTTTTAAAAAGAAAGTATACTAGACTAAGGAAGTGTAATGCTAAAGAGTGTCACAAAAGGGAAAAAGAAGAGAGTGATCCCCACATTTTAAAGTGATCCCCAGAAAGCAAAAAAGATACAATAAAGTAAAAGCAAAAGTTGAATGGTTCCTCCTTTATTCAAAGAAAGAGATGGAATTCTATGCTAAAAAGCATTAGGTACCACTGATGTACACCTATAACGGAGAGTCAGATCCAGGATTTAAACTTTATTGGTTCAACTTTTAAGGTTTTTAACATTGAATCCATTATATTTCTAAAGTGATGAGTTTCGTATTTACTATTTTTGCAATTTTAGCGAAATATTTATATATTAATTTATACTCCATATCAAAAGTTATGGGTTCAATTGAACTCGTCGAGTACTACATCTGCCCACAAACAAAGCACTCCTCTTTTTGTGGCATTAACAAAGGGGCCTTGTTAAGCAACATGCCTATAATTTTGCATTTCCTAACAAAAAGACAATCAACAAAACCAAATTTTGTGATGCCAAAAGCTTGAAATCATATTGGTATTGGTAATGACATGTAAAAGCAGAGCATTCATGCTCCCATACTTCAAGTTGATATGCAAAACAGCATTCTTTCACGATCCACATGAAATTAAAAAAGGCACATAAAAAAGATAACACTTACCCATAAAATAGTCTATATATGTCTAAGCTAGCTCGAACACTACCTTTATCAACTAAATAGAGGAAGGGAAAAAAAAAAAAGAGAGAGAACTCACAATAGTCAAGCTTAATTCTTGAATTTGGAAAGACCAGAATAGAAGGGGAGTTGTTTTATCTGTAAAACACTGGAAAGCATCAGCGAAAAAATAGAGAATAGGATTTGGATGGTCAGTTTCAACAGCTCTTCTGTAGGTATAAACAGTGAGAGAATTTAGCTGTTGGATTTTGGGAATTTGAAAATGATGATTCCAACGGTATTCTTCTAACCAGAAAAGGAATTCTTGGAAGTTAAGGTCACCCATTTAATGTTATTATTAGTACACTAGTAATACGGATATAGCAGGTCATTAAAACAGAAAAAATGCAATTTTCTGTGAGTTATTACCGTTTATAACGACTGTGTCGGCACCCACATTGAAGGTTTTAAATTTTAATAGTAACATGTAGCTAATTATATAGTAAACCTAATGAAAATGATAGGTACCTTACTAAATGCTAGAAATGGGACAGGAAGAAAATGACCCACAAAATTGTACTCACAGTTTAAGTTATTGAATGTTGACTACAGATATGAAGAAGGAAGAAACAAAGACAGCTCAGAAATGGATGATTTTGGTGAGCCTGCTGCTTCTGGGAGGGTGATTAAGGTCCAACTATATATGTTACATGAATCATTTATTCTGGGGCCATCAAAATTTAAACTTGATCTTTCCATCATTAAAGTTCTTTTCACTCACCTTGTGATCAAAGTATAACACTGGATAAATCTTTTTTGTAATTTTTCACATATTTATCTATGTTTCATGTCAACAGCCATTAATGTTTGCAATATGGTAGGTTGCCTACATTCGAAACTTGCGTGAATGCGGAATGCTTTATGCATCGAGCTGTCCCTTCATCTATGTTTCGTGTCGGAATACTAAATTCAATTGAACCCCTAACTAGTACTAAATTATATCTGTTTGACTCAAAAGATATTGCAACCTTTTTGAACAAATCAATCAAATAAAATGATGGGATAAATCTTAGTCATTCATAATGAATTCCAGATCAATGAGCTAGATGGAGAACAACATATTAAAAGAAGTGAAGATAAACGATCTTATCGAAACTTTCCAGTATTATTCTCATTTATCGGTGGAATAGAACATGTTACATTTTACATCGATCGATGAGGATTACCTCTTTTTTCCTTATCTTTATCGAAGTTATGGAGAGAAGATAGATGGAGAATAGGAGAGATGTTTTCTGCAAAAGCCCCCCTTGTGAGAGGTTTTTACCCTCCTATATATACAGCCCTGGACCTCCAGCTATGTGCTCTGTCCGACGCTTCTCTATGCCTCACACTCCTCGGTTACTTGCTGGAGGTCATTCTTTACTGCTTCGACGAAAGTCGTGAGGGCAAGGTGCGGAACAGCCCATGTCGATCCTTATTGCCTTACCGTCTGTGAGCGGGGCGTTGGTCGGTCTGACCGTTGTGGTCAGATTTTGAGCAATAGAGTTAGTCCCTCCGTCTGTCGGGGTCGTCCCCTGTCGAGCTCGACAGACGGATTATGACCGCTGTCAACCCGAGAGAAATCTGACTACTCACTCCTTGGTTGTACTACGTGGATTCGGAAGAGATGACGGCACCCTTTTGGTATTTCTGGACCGTTGCGGCCGTTTCGGAACCGAAACATCGTTTGTGCCGAAATGTCGTTTCGTGGTTGCAGCCATTATAGCACACGTTCTTAGAGAGTTGGAACATTTCGTGTTCCACCGGGTTTGATTGGCGACTCTTGGGTTTCACGCTTGGAAGGTTTATGTTTCTTATAAATAGAAGGAACACATCATTCGATTGACACATTCCCTTACCTTTTGCCTGAAAGAGTTCTTGCGAGTATACTTTCTTCCCGATAACTTCAAACTTTTATTTGCTCCTTGTAAGCCGAAAAACTCCCATCCCTTCCTTTCATCGCTTCTTTTCTTTGCTAAATCAACACAATGGCCGGTAATTCTTCTCGCGCTCACCTCCCTGCCTCGATTCAGGCGTCGGCAAATGATACTCCAGCCTCCGGAGGGGCAGAACTGGTGTAGGATGAGGAGGTTCCGTCAGTGGCCGAAATCTTGCCCCGCCCTGGAAGAGCATGGGCTGATTTCAGCGGTCGCGCTGGGGAGGAGCCGGAACCTCTCCCCTCAGTAATGAAGGAGGAGGATATTGCAAATTGGAAAGTCCGGTGGGGAATTTCGGTTATATCGATATGCGATCGGCGGTAGGGGACGACATCGTACATTTCAACTACCCTGGATACTGCGTGTTCTACGCGTACCCCTTCCTTATTGGGTACACTCTTCCTCTCCCACTCCTGGTGGTGGACTTCTATCGCTTTTATGAGGTATGTCCTGCCCAACTCTCGCTGTACCTGTATAACTGTTTCTGATGTTGCTCAAGTTCGTGGAGCTCGCCGGCCGTGAGGTCACTTTGGGGCATATGCTCAACATCTTCGCCCCTCAGCATATTCGTGGTACGATGATCCACATGTGCCCTCGGGGGTCGAAGAGCCTAGTGGTGAAGATGGATGACAAGGCTAACCGTCGTTTCTATGAGAATTACTTCTACGTGCGGACCGAGCACCTCGTGGCGGATCTAACGGGGTTCCCTGAGAAATGGAACTTTGCGCGTAAGTTTGTATGTTGTTTTATTTTTAGTCGAAGGGACGTACGACCATTTCTTATCGTGATACTAAATCTTTGCCAACTTTTTCAGTCGCGAGATTGCCTCCTCCACCTGTTGACAGTATCCGTGGTGGGTGGGCGCTATTCTTCCTCATACAGCGGGGATCCGCACATGGGCGGCCTTCTATGACAAGTATGGGCGCAAGCCTCTTTCTGGTGAGATGTCGTGTCCGTTCGCCGTTTTTCTCCTTCCCTTCTTTGTATTAATTTCTCATGTTCTGCTCATCGATGTCAAGGAGGGTAAGGAGGGCGAGGGCTCCTCCGTTAGCTTTCCGACAACCAGCCTCATCTGCTCGCCCTATCGTAGTACCCACTGCCCGGCCTTCGTCGAGGGCTGCTTCAGTTGAGTTTGTGGCAGCGGTTACTCCTGTTGAGGCCGCTTCTCAGTCTGAAGTTCCGACTCGTGTTGCTCGCCCAACGGGTGAATCTCTGCCTACTGAGGACGAAGGGGGTCCTTCCAAAAGGCGGTGAGTGGGTTCGAGACAACGCCCCCAACTGTGACTCATCTGGACGACTCTCCTTCGACGGGATCTGGAGTGGGGGTTGATACGGCTCCCCCTATAGGGATGGAGCCGGCCGTTGCATCTTCTCAATCAGAGATTCCAGCCATTGTCGGTGATCAGCGTCCTGCCGCGATAGAGGGTCAGGTTACCGGGGCCACCGTTGTGGTTTCGGACGTACCCTCATCCTCCGTGTGGGGTCGTACTTCCTCTTCAGCTGCTGACAGAGGAAATGGAGTCGTGGTCGATGACTATGAGTCCGAGTCGGACCTCGACCCTGATGGTGTCAGGATGTTTAAGGAGGGCATTACCCATTTGGTGGTTCAAGCGGGAGGTCCGGCCCGCTTTCTTGAGATTCCTCAGATGTCAACCTCCTGGGGGATACGGAGGATTTGGTGCTGCATTTTGACATTTTATGCTCCGAGGCCGAGACTATGGCCCTTCGGAACGTTCTTGATACTGGTTTGATGGACGAGGTGGCCGCTATGGGCTTAAGAGTACGTTACATTATCCCTGTTGCTTTTCTTTCATATGACGGGGGGCTAACCCATATTCTCATTTTTCAGACGTATATGCTGGAGGTGGAGAGTATTTGCATGGCCAACATCTTCTTGAAAATGCTAGAGAAATATCGGCATTATCGCGACAAGTGCCGTGAGATGCGTGAGCGGCTGAAGGCGAACCCTTGTGATCGGACTCTCGGCGAGGAGTTAGAGAAGAGGAACCAGGAACTGTCGCAGGCTATTCG